AAAAATACAAATAAATGACATTGTCCAGAGAAAAAAGTTATGAATACCATCAAAATTGATAAAGATTAGATTTGAACAAAAAAGGCCTCTTGATTAGAAGAGGCAATAGGACATCAAACAGAGTGACCATTCAATCTAAACTAACTTCTAAGACTAACAAATGCCTTTCATTTGGTCAGATATAATTTGCCAAAAGGGAAACTCCCCAACGTTAGGGTTGGGACAGGGTTTTATTTTTGTCTTTCCAGGAGAATGAAGGCATCCAGCTAAGGAATCTGAAGAACACTGGACAAGTGAGACATCTGAAGAAAAAGGACAAATCATCCAGAGAAAATGTACTAAGAAAAGAGTAAAGTGGCCTATTGGTATATCACATTTCCAATAGTATAAAATTTCATAAATCTTCCCAAATGTTTGTTTCTGCTGTTCTCTACAAAAATATAATGCAAATGGTCTTTGTGGTCCTAGTTTAATTAAAAATTAAAGCTGGCTATGGAGTTGGAGTGTGGCTCTTTCCTTCTCTAAACCCAAGCATGCTTGTTAAAAGGAAAATACAAAATATCTGTATCATGTTAGAAGAGACACCTGATATGGGACAGAAGAAAAACCAAAATTAAGGGACTATTTTATTGCCACTAATCTCATAATTCTTTGGTTTTATTTTGACTCTAATTTTTTCTTAAGGTATAAATATCTCAAAATTTATAAAATTAATATATTTTAAACTTTTTGTCATAATATTAATGGTCATATAGAGTACTACCTAATTCTAGAAAAAGGGCTGATTCATCTAGCTTCCTGCACATGATTTTGGGTTTGCGTCTCAATCAGGTAACTAGCAATTAAGTTTTTGTACTATGGATGTACATAACAAATTATAGTCCTTTAACCTCTTCAAGATCTGCTGCATATGCCATTTAAAATGTTTAAGTGTTCTGCAGTGAACCATGACCACGCTTAACAGCAACCTTTAAAGCCTCAAAAAGGAGGATGGGGCCCACAATGACAATTCCACCTGGATTGTGGTAACACCACTAAGCTGACAAATACCACCCAAAGATCGGCTTTGTACTACAAACTGCTGAGGACAATTTCAAGGTGGCTAGTTGGGACGATCCAGCCTCACAGACTACTCTAGCCAGGACTTGAGATAAGCCCTGCACTTTGCCATTACACAGAGACTAGACAACAAATCACACAGCTAGCTCTCCCAGGACTTGACAATCCCCCCCCTTTTTTTTTCCAGAGGCCCCTAAAGATGCTGCCATCCCCAGACAGCAGGAAGTAATTTTAAGAACATGATACTCACATTCCCAAGAGGTTGGGTGGGCAGTTTTTCATTGCTTAGTGGGTTATAAATATTTGCCATCATTTAGGGGGGTTGGTTACAAGCTGTTATTGGTAATGATCAAGAAAAAGGCTAAACAAAGGAGATTAAATTCAGGGATCTCATTCTAAAGAGAGAGGGGTGGTGGTGGTATAGAAATGATAGGATAAAATGGTAGATTACTAAATCCACTTTTAAACTAAAAAAAGGAACTACTAGCTGGGCAGTGGTGGCACACACCTTTAATCCTAGCACTCAGGAGGCAGAGGCAGGTGAGTGAGTTCTCTGTGAGTTTGAGGCTAGCCTGGTCTACAAAGTGAGTTCCACGACAGGTTCCAAAGCTACACAGAGAAACTTTGTCTTAAAAACAAAACAACAACAACAAAAAAAGCAACTACTAGTCTTATATATTTTACATTGATATAGATTTTTGTATACTGATACAAATTTGAGGTTATTTTTGTTATACTGTATATATGTTTCTACTCTTGTTTAGGATATTTTTGTATATTGATACAAATTTGATGTTATCTTGGTTAGAGCATACTGTATATACTTTTCTACTCTTGTTCAAGGTACTGTACCTATATACAGTTCATTTAACAATACAATGTAAATTTCTAGTCCTTGAAAGTTATTATTACAAACTATTACGGATAATAAAGAAATGCAGGTCAGAATTTAGCCACTTATTACAATCAAACTTGTAGTCAATGTTAGGTATATATTCAAGGTAAAATAGATATATTTTAGATAAACAGGCAGTCTTCAAACACTCAGAAATATACAGGATATGGCATTAAAGACGTTTTAATAACATAAGGGTTTTTTTTTTTTTATGACAATGAGACATCTGCTCCTAGCAGCACCAATGTACTTCAGAGAAGATGATGGGCATCGAGAAACTCCATATAGAGTTTAATTTCTTTGTTGCAAAAGTTAGTCACTGGTCAAAAAACTGCCATTGCCTTGACTGCTGACAGTATGCTGTCCAAATTGGACAAGCAGGACACAAAAGAAAGTGACTGCCAAACTTTGCCAAGACAAAGCAGGATAATCCTTCAAAAATCCTGCTTCATAGAAAAATCTGTCAGACATTCTTAGCCTATAGACTGAAGATGAATGCCGCTACATTACAGAGGAACCTTTGGTGACTGTCCAGGCAGCCAGCTGTTTCTGTCATTTCTTGTGGGAGCCCGTTCTCAGGTTCCTCGTGGCTTTACCCAGCAGGTCCGCATGGAGGATGATTAGGACCACGGGCCTGAGTGCAGGTGTCTGAGATGGCCTGCACTTGGCTGTGCTGGGGGAGGAGGCCTTTTGCTCCACCCCTTGGCATCTTTATAAAAACCCTGGGGCAGAGACAGTCGGGGCCGTTGGAAAAGGTTCCAGGCCCTCTTGAGGCTATCCTTTATTTTCTATCTGTTTATCTCTGCAAGATTCTCCGCAATAAATCCTTCTATCTAATATTTCCTGCTGCTCACACTCAAGAAAACTCTGGGGAACTGTGGGGGTGGTGGGTAAACGCCCCACAATTTCTTTTTAGAAGTTGTTTGCTCTGCACTTCCTGTTTACTCAGGTAATATATTCTTCTCAGATCTCTGATGGAGATGAAGACTAGATAGTTACACTTTTCCTTTTACTAAATTCAGAAAAGAAACTCACAAAAGAGGTGTAAATGTATAAGGTGAAGAGACATAAAAAGATAGTTTTGGCTTGGTAATACAAGTTTGGATAGAAAGTGAATTAGGTACAACGCTTTGGACTCACCAAGCTAGGATAATGGAGTAATTTCTCTGAATTTGTCAAATGCAAATAGACTAGACATTGTTAATGTAATTCTTGCTTATGTATATTTGTATATAGTTATTGTACTTATTATATGTAGTTTTAATGTTAGTTAAAACCTTCACTTTTTATTTAGACAAAAAGGAGGATATGTTGTATAATATTTTGATTTTGTTCTGAAAAATAAAGCTTGCTTGGATCAGAAGGCAGAGCTAGCCACTAGCTGACCACAGAGGTTAGGAGACAGGAAGTGATAAGATGAGACTGACAGAGGAGCTTGGCCCTTTTGGATGGAGAAATGGAAGAGGTAGGAAGCTACTGGTTCTCTGATCTTCAGGTTCTTACCTCAATTTCTGACTTCTGATTTTTTATTCATTAAGATTAATTACATTAATGCTTCAGTGTGGCACAAAAGGCACCAGGTAAGGGCAGCCACTGAGGGGCATGTGTAACTTAAAGAGGAAGTTGCTTAGCCAGTTTGAGAGTCAGCTATGTAAAATGGCAAGGTAGAGGAAAGTTGCTTATGTCTGAGGCAGTGACCTCAGGGTTTCGAATCCAATCATCTCCTATAGCCAGTGAAGCTTGAAAAATTATAAGTAACAGCTGGAAAGATGGATGACTCAGCAATTAAGAGTATGCACTACTTTCGCAAAGACCTGAGTTTGGTTCCCAGTGGCCACATCAAGCAGCTCACAACCATCTATAACTCAGCTACAGGTGACCTCTTCTGGCCTCTGTGGGCACTGCACTCAACTAAAATTCTTTTGAGTAGCTATACTTTTCTTCCATTAGGTTGTTGAATATACAATCATCATCCTTCCCACCATAGGCTCTTTGGACTCGCTAGTTCATCTGTCTGGAAAACTCTTTTCTTAGAAATTGTTGTGTCTGGCTTTTTTCCTTGCCTTCTACATCTCTACAGGTATGTCCCTTTCTTAGAAAGATTTTCCCTAATGACATTATCTAAAGAAGATCCCAACCTGACTGGCACTATCTGTCCCAGTCCCTTCAAAGCCCTTATTCCTGATCATGGGTCATATACTCCAAACTTAAAACAATGCCAAAACAAAGATTCTGTCTTAATTGGTTTGCTATGGAGCCTGAGTATGAATTGTTTCAAAAGCTCCCATTGTGACTCAATTTGTCCCTTGTCATAGTTGAGAACCAGCCCACTAGATTGTAACTGAGAAAGGGCCAACATAATACTGGGAAATGCCCAGTGAAGGATTGTTACATCTGGACATGTGTGAGGAAAAGAAATGACTCTTGTTTTACTGGGGCCACAGTGATGGACTGAAAAAGAATGATGCCCATAGGCTCATATATTTGAATGAGGGAGTGGCACTTGTTTAAGGATTAGGAGGTGCATCCTTGTTTAAAAGGAAGTGTGTTGCTAGGTGTGAGCTTTGAGGTTTCAAAAATTCACACCAAGCCCAGTGTCTCTCTCGTTCTGCCTTCCTGCCTGCAGATCAGGATGCAAGTTCTAAGTTCCAAGCCTACCTTCTTGTCACCATGATGATCACAGATTAATCTTCTGAAACTGTAAGAAAGCCACCAATTAAATGCTTTCTTTTGAAAGAGTTGCCTTGATTACGGTGTCTCTTTACAGCAGTGCAATAGAGCAGTAAGTACGACACAGTCAGGCTCCAGTGTGTAGCCTCTTCAGTAGGGCTTTACTCCTAATGAGCCAATCCTTCTTGCTAGCCTCAAGCAACACCAGCAACAAAAAGAGGAAACCCCTGCTAAGCAGCACTATGGATGGGACTAAGATTAACTTTAACTGAACTTCATATTCCAAGACTAGGAGACCATCTCCCATCCTGTTGTTCCATTGGGTAAAGAGTAACAGTTATGGGGTCTGTGTGGTGGGTGAGGTCATTGATCATACCTGTCCATGGAGAGCTGAGCAACCAGGGTAACGTCCGTGTTGTCAGCAGCAGGCTCGAACTCATAGTGCAGGAAGTATAGGTGGGTTCGGTGGACAGTGAAGCGTTCTCGCCGGAACTCATAACACAAGTCATCCTCATCCAGCTCTGACAGCTGCTTCTGAAGCTTCAAAGGAAGAAAAAGGCTTGGCGACAGGAGGAAAGGCACCAAGATGCCCAGAAGCCTGCCTGCAGTTGTCTGTCATTCCTGTGTTGATAGTTTAATGGAAAAGACTCCCATTTCATTTCCTGATCCATTACTCTAACATCAGAGGTAATCACAAAGGCAGGTACCTTCTCCATATGAGAGATGAGCCTCCTTGTGGCCAAGAGCCATGGTGATGCTCACTGACAAACAGACCCCACACAAATCCTTCAAAAAAAAAAAAGCAGAGGCCTTTCCTGGGCAAGTCAGTCAAAAAGTCAGTCAAAGGGTGGCTTCAATTAACCCAAAGAAGATACTTGTAGATGAGGAAATCCCAAGTGAGAAGGTTTCTGAGTGACCTAATGCTTTTGTCTTCGAGCTACACACTTCAGTCTCTGGGTCAGGTACAGGAAAGAAGAACCAAGCAAATGCATTAACGTCACAAAATCTTTCCTTTTATTTATTTTTTAAACCTAAATTTAGTCTAATGCTATGAAAGTCTGTCTTCATTAACAGGAATGCTATGAAAGTCTGTCTTCATTAACAGGAAAGTATATTTAGTTCTATTCCTCTTTCCTTGCTCACCTAGTGAAAATTGTAGTCTAACCTGCTAACAAGGAGCTCAGACTTTGACCAACCATTGCTGGTTAAACCCCACAGTACTACTACCATGCAAATGATGATATCCGCTTAACAGACTGAAAAGTTGAAATCTCAAAGTACCTGGCAAAAAGTATTTATGACCTGGCAAAGCACTAACTACAGTGATGGAAAGGAATTAGTATATGTTGGCAGGGTGGGGTGAGTGACTTGGAAAAAGACAAAAGAGCTACTGTGGTAATGGGAATGACCTACACTGACCTACTTGACCTACTGTGATTGTGATGTTTACCTGAGTGCACACATTTGTGAATGCTCTGCAAGCTTGGCTTTGGGCAGAAAAGACTTAATACATACAGTTTGCATTTCAATAAAATTAAACTTAAAAAATAATAATTTCCCAAGGGTTGCACAACTGGCTCTGATTTTTGTCCTCAGCCTTTCTAACACACAATATCATACATTTCAATATAAATTAAAGTTTACGTGGCTACACTTACTTGTCTGTCTGAAAGTAATAGACTGGCTTTCAAAAAAATGTCTTTTTTAAATCTCAAAACTGATAGCATAATTCACAAGAAAACACATTAACTGCTTCTCTCAGTATAGCGCTTCATCACTGAGTCCACTGTTGTGATACATTATGCCACTGTATTATTTCTCAAGAGAGTAGCAGGGGCACACATGCCATTGTAAAGGATAGCTTTACTCCTTCTCCAGCATGGCCTCACTCTGCACAGTGGTGCTTACTAAAGCTGTGAGTCTGTTTCTCTGTCTTTGAAATCTAGGCTGAACTTGGGACAGGCTTTTGTTGCTAGAATTCAGAGGAAGCAATATCCTCCTATTCTGAGGCTAGACTCCAAGAGGCAATGTGTGGTTCTCTACTATAGCTGGGAGCCCATGCTCAGGTGAGCCTGATGGGAGAGGACAGACACCTGTGCCCAGTATACTTTCCTCAGTTGCTCACACCATGTGAGCAAACCCAGCTAATCTCAGCATAGTTGTTCTAATAAATACTTCTTGTAGACCACTGAGGTACAGGTTGTGAAAAATAGGTAACAAATAGTGTGTTATTATCACTTAATGCGGGGCATGTATTCATTATGGGGCCTGACCAATCTAAGGACAGTTCAGCTCCTGAGTCCTGTTTGGTAAATGCTCATAGATCCGCCAGGTGGCCTTGTACAACGCAGATGCAGCCACATATTTCCAAATGCTCACTGGGCAGTCAGCTGAGATCTAATGACCCAAGACACTTCTGGCCACCTAACTAATGTAAGACCAGGAGGTGGAATGGAATTCACACTTCATCAATGATTCTATGTACCACATGACCCCTTCTGATATGCAAAATTAGACCTAGATGTCTCTGGTGACAAGCACAGACAGCTGTCCTACCCATCACCTCAATTCTCTGCAGGATCTCCATTAGTGCTTCTCAGACTTGATTTCCCCTGCCTTTCTGTGACTTCCTTGGGCATTTTTCCCTCTTGGCAAAGCCCTTCCTCACTAGACTCTCTTCTACACTCTATCAACTAATGCCTTCCTTCCCTCCCTCTTCCACACTGTAGTTGAACAGAGTCCCATTCAGAAAGGAAACATTTGTAAACTCTTTGAAGGAGTGGGTTTGGCTTTCTCCTTCCTTGGTTTTACTTTGTGGCTTTAATGTGCTGACAAAGACATATAACTTCTGCTGTTGTGGAGGAAAGGAAAGGGTATGTATGGATGTTTGTATGTGAGCTTGTGGAGACACATATCTTCCTTTGATGAGTTTTCAAACAAGTATCTTACTCTATGTGGCAAGGATATTAGTGACAAGGAAGTGCTATGTATGGGGGTTTCACTTCTCTTTACCAGGGGAAAAGAATTATCAAGTGAATGGCTCTAGGAGATACTTTCTAAAGTACCCATAGAATGAATTCTAAAGGCAATAGCTGTACCCCATTCAAATTAGAACCCCTAAACCCAGGACAACCCAAGCACCTTATAAGGTATACAAGCCTCTGTTGGCATCAATGACTACTTCATGCTTAAAAAAGGGTGTGGCCATCAAAGAAAGTGCCCCCCCAAACTACCAAGGTGTAGCTTGCTCTAGCAGGGAGGGCTGGCTTGCAGTTATAGAGTATATATGTACTCTTTTATGAAATTCATGGTATCAGTGGTTTGTGATTCATCTTGCTGTCACACAGGTATGCTAAAACACATCTGCCTGTGAGACTCCAGGGTACTCAATGTCAACTGAGTGTTAATATTACCTTTACGATCGTTACTATGGGATGTACCTACACTGATATGGGCAGAGCACCTGCTCAGTGCTGTGTGTTGGGTGCCAAGCTAATGTCTCTGGGTGCACTGACTGACATTTTAAATCCCTTAGCACACATCTCTTCTTCAAAGGAGAAAACTAAGGCTCCCCCTTTGGACCTTCAGCCAGGAACACTTCACACTACACAATTACTTCTTCCCCAGAATGGATGTAAGCTTTAAATGGTATGGCAGAAAACATAATATGCCTTGAACAAAGCAGGCCATTACCATTAAAAGAAAGGAAAAGAAAAGAAAAAGGTATATGTAATAAGGTCCCAGCAAAAACAAACAAATGAAATCCACTAGAAAATCAGTTAAGGGAAACATTACAAAGTTAACAAAGATTTTTCTGTGAGTGATGGATTCAAAGATAAATTTTAATGCTTCTATATACCTTCCTGTCATTAGCAAATTCTCTGCAATTTTCCCAAATGAGCTAATGCATGTAGGAGTGCTTTGTAAAGTGTAAAGTGTTGCACAAACTTAAACAATGAGATTATGATTGCATTACTTACCTTTTCAAATTTAATGTTGGCTGGCTTATTGCTGACTGTGTGGCTCATGTTGTCTCAAGAGGAAGATATCAGCTGCTTAAATACAGTGTCTTCTTCACCCAGGGACTGGACAATGTCCCCAGGGAGACACTTGGCTGGAGGGAGTGCTTTCATTAACAGGCCTGAAGGCTACTGCACCCTGTTTTCTAGCCACAGAAGAAAACAGGGCTCCCATCAAGTGAGTGACAGAAACAAAAAGATGTATTTCTCCTGAGATAAAACGCATTTGCTAAATTGTTTCTTTGGGCAACCAGCTGAGGCACAGGCAGAATTTAACTCAAGGGAAAATGACCCTTTAAGCAGTTTGCACTTCTTCTGCCTTCCCATCCCTAAGGACAATGGTCTAGATTGGCCTTTGAGCTACCTAAAATGATGGCTGGACATGCCTGAAGGTTCAGTGGAAGTGTGTTCCCAGCTGTGGCTAAAGGGACTTCTCTTTAAAGCAGGGTGAAGAAACAGAGTGAGATTATGGGGATATTTGGAAACCAGAACCAGATAACCCTGACCCTCATTTCCTATGTGACCTTAAACAAGCTGCAATTCAACAGTAGAACTAAGGGTCTGGGCTTCAAAACTATCTTTGGAAAATCAGCAGGTTACTTGTAGCTGGTCTGGCAGGTTCTCCCATTTAATCTTCACACCAGCCCCACCTTTCAGTCCTGTGTTTTTGATGAAGGCTTTACAAGCTGACAGGTTCAGCCAAGTGTTCAAGGTTACATGATCAGTGAACCAAGCAGCTAGGACTGAACCTAAGGACGTTTACTCTGAGCTTTTGTCGTCACCATGTCACTATCATGTCAAGACCAGTGGTCTCAGGTTTTTTTTTTTTTTTTTTTTTTTTTTTTTTTTAGCTCTATCATCCAGCTAAATGGTTCTGTGGCTATGTAACAGTGACATTCCTCTGGTAGTTGTCCTTGGCAGAGTTATGCTGGCTTTCTTTTCCAGGCATTCTAAATTAAAAGGAAAAGTCACACCAGGGCTGGGCTTGACGGTATACTGGGTAAGGGGAGAGGATTTCAAGTTTGAGGCCAGTCTGGGCTACAAAGTGAGACAATGTTGTAAGAAAAAAAAAATTTAAAGTGGGCTTAAATAATAAAGGTGTTAACTGTTAAAAATTCTTTACATAAATTTACATATCAGAATATCTGGTGACTTCAGCTAATACCAGAACGTCCTTATTTTTTAACTCTGTGCATCAATTTATATAAAGGATGTGAATTATTATGGTGTTTAAATTGCAGCAAGTATGCAACCATGAAATCTCAACAATATGGTTAACTAAACAAGATCTGCATAATGACAACATATCTAATCTAAGTGGTCATCTCTAAATACATGTACATATGAGCAATACTAAAATAAATATGGACTTAGAAGGTTTTGTATGCAACACACACACACACACACACACACACACACACACACACACACACGCACACACACACCCCATTCTAATTACAGAAGAAGAGATCATGAATTTGGGAGTGAGTAGGACAGGGAAAGGGAGGAATTGGAGGGAAG